CTCTCTCTCTCTCTCTCTCTCTCTCTCTCTCTCTCTCTCCCATACATACATACACACATACACCCATACACTCTCTCTGTTCTGGCCATTAAGAACCCCTTATGTTTTCTGGAGCCTGCAATTCCATTTATGTCTCCTGAATATTATCGTCTTGTCTTCCCAGGAGCTAGATTACATTAAGAGACCAGGAGTCATAGCCCCTCCTGATTACAACATCTTCTATTATCCTAGTCAGGAACAGTAATTGAACAGTGTTTCCCTGGTTCTCAAAAAGCCTGTAGTCCCAGGAGCTTCATAGCCACCAATAGTCTCAGGGTTGGGGCATTTGTGGGACACAGAATGCATGCAATTAAAATACATAAAGTGATTCTGTGTTCAAACAGGTTACTGAAGTTGATCATTTTAGTATGGGATAAGTCTCAATATTTATATGGGTAATAAAGCTGTACTATTACAATCATACATAATTACTATTTTAAGTTTACTTACACATCTATTAAACAGGAAAGAAATAACACCAGCACAGACTATATGTAGCAATGAATTTTTCCTACTGCCTTTGTTCCTGCTTTAGAATCACTGCTCTTGCTAAGTGTGAAGATACAAAAAGCAGAGCTCTCACCTTTAGGGAACAAAGAAAGTTTATCCTAGAGCCAAATTTGGATGACTATGGCCCTGAGAACATAGATTTAGGTTACTGAAAATTAATTGTTCCAACTGTGAGGGTGTTTCATGGAGTTTTATAGTTTTACAGAACAAAGTAATAAATCAGTGCATGTTTAAAACACAGAAAGGTACAGAGTACAGCAAGGTGGGAGAAGTTTTTCTGATAGGCCTCAGATGCTATTTAAAACATCCTTAGCTTTTGGATTGGTGGAAGCTAAGGGTCTCAGTTAAAACATTTCAAAAGGCTTTTAACTTTTATGGGAAAGGGATGGCTCTTCATGGGGCTAAACCTAGCCCAAGATTAATTAATCTCTGCCCTTGCAACATTCCAACCTCTCCACATCATTTTACTTCTATCAGCCAGTCAGTCTTTGCACACATACCTTCTTTACTGGAATTCTAATTGGCAGATATTGATAAGTTTTGAATCCTGATTCTATCAGCCAGTCAGTCTTTGCACACACAGCTTCTTTACTGGAATTCTAATTGGCAGATATTGATAAGTTTTGAATCCTGGTTGTTGGAAACCCACCACCGATGATGTAATAAGGCAATCAAGCACAATTAATAAATCCAGGTTTAATCTGAACAAAGCATTCCCAGGTGGCCCCAAGGCAAAGGGGAAGACCATGAGGGGAACCCATGAGGCAGGGGGCTTTTAATGCCTTCCAGGGTGGAGCACTGATGGCAAGCTTCCTCAGGAGCAGACTCTAGACTGAGGCAACTCCAGGGGAGGGACCCACCACTTGGCACCCTGACGGCCGGTTTGCAATAGAGTCCTGAGCTGGAGATTCCAAACATCCTAACCTTTTTGGATAGATACAGATGCCTGTAGAGCTTTCACCTAAACAAACATGATATATGCTATTAAAATTAATCCCCCCTTCCATTTATTTTAATGGCTTAATATCTAGTTACTTTTCTCTTTACTAAAAAATGTGGCCATGAAACAGAATTCATTTCTCATCACTTAAGAGCAGTGATGCAAAGGCAAGTTGTTGGGGCAAAGAAGATTTATTTTGCAAACTGAAGATGATAAAGACTCATCAGCAGATTCTATCTTACCTTTGGGTTGCAGAAACAAAGTCTACATCAGGAGCTATGCAGAACTACGATAAATAGATGGGCATCAGTGCAATTTACAGATGTCAGGCTTTCTGCCCTTCTGATGCTTTAGCTGATATTCGAAGCTTTCATAAATGTAAAAGAAAAAAATGACTGTTTAAAAAGTGTTACTGCTCATGTATTTTAGTCCTTTTCTTAAGACTAGTTCATTGTGCATTCAATGATTAATTTACAAATGCATCCTTTCCCAGAGGAAAGCTGTAAAAGGCTATGTCTCTCTGGATGATCCAGGAAATAAAACAACAATATCTCACCCATTCTGTGACTTCATTCAGAAGTGTCAGCTCTAACAAAGCTCAGTAGAGAGATGAATAATGACTTCCCCAGATGTGTAACTCTCAAATTAGTACTATTTCAAGTTAAGTAGAAGTAAGTGAAACTAGAGGGTTGCTTAGATTTTTTTAATTTTAATTTTTTTATTTTCGAGACAGGGTTTCTCTGTGGCTTTGGAGGCTGTCCTGGAACTAGCTCGTGTAGACCAGGCTGGTCTTGAACTCACAGAGCTCTTCCTGCCTCTACCTCCCAAGTGCTGGGATTAAAAGCTTGAGCCACCACCACCTGGCTTTTTTTCTTTTATTTTGGGGGGGGTTTGCTTAGATAACAAATATACGAAAGGAATATCATCCAAAATCAAGTATCAGTTATGTAGTACATAGCTCAGTATGTACTGTAATCTTTACAGGACAACCATGACTCTCTACAGAGATACAAGTACAGTTGGCAAAGGTCCAAAAGAGATTGTGAAGTCACTAATTGCCTCAAAGTTTTTCAAAGTGTGGTCTTACCAGCTCAGTGGTTGATCCACTTAAATTGATATCTACCAATTTAAATTTTCTAACATTATTCTTAAATAGTGAATACAGGAGTTTAATTTTGTAAGTTTGTCTAATAATCTGAATACAGTGGTGAGTCTGCATCTGCCAAACACCCATAGAAATAATCCCTTGTCAGATTACTAGACAGGCGGGAGCTCTTCGGTACACCCCTGTCTTACAAGAGCAAGTGGGTTTTGACAGATAAACTATGTTCAGAAGTGAAATAGAAAGTACATCAGGGAATCAACTGTAATGATCTTTGTGTATTGCCCAAACGGATAATTTCAAATGCTTCCAGTTGAATCCCAACAAGATGGTTGCTTCATTTATAATTCAACTTCATCTAAAACTGGTGGATTACTGAGAGCTCATTGAAATTCAGTGATGTTGAAAAAAGTGCCCCTCTTATTAAACACAGAAGTTACGGTCTACCAGTCTCTCATTAATCTTTTCTGTTCTACCCTTTCTTTGTTAAGGTCCACCATGAGCAAGAAATGGGACTCAAACTCTTCAGAAAACTGGAGTCACACTTGGAGTAGCAGTGACACACAGCATCATTGGTACTCCGATATCAACATCACCTATGTGAACTATTATCTTCACCAGCCTCAAGTGGCAGCAATCTTCATTAGTTCCTACTTCCTGATCTTTTTCCTGTGCATGGTGGGAAATACTATAGTTTGCTTTATTGTAATAAGGAACAAACACATGCACACTGTCACCAATTTCTTCATCTTAAACCTGGCAATAAGTGATTTGCTTGTTGGAATATTCTGCATGCCTATCACATTGCTGGACAACATCATAGCAGGTATGTTGAGTTGTGTGCGGTATAAATATGACTGAGAAAATTGTTCCACAAATACTCAGAGTCAGTGCTGAATCATTAATTCATTCACACATACTTACTGGGTTCCCAGAAGTGTTCCAGGTATCTGTCTTCACAAGATGGATATTCTAAGCATAACATGTAATAACCAAGTAGATGTGCCATTTGGGAAGAATTTCCCTCCCACACTTCTGAATCCATGTCATCATGGGTCACCTCACCTGTTCTCGAGGCTCAGGAACAGTGTATTTACTGGTTGCAGTAGTGTTTTCATTCAGAGTGTTGATTTAATAGTTTGTTGTATTAATTGAGGGACAACACTTTCAGTGTTCACATTCCAACCAATATAAGAAAAACAATGAAATAATTGCAACATATTGAAGTTATCTGCAGTACCTCAAGCTATTTCAAAGCTCTGATCCTCTCATGACACTCAGTTTCCTGCCATAATTATTTTGAACTAAATGATTATTTAATATTTTGCACATGAATCACTTCTCTGTGCCCTTGATTTTGTTTCCCAATAGGCAGCCCTTTGCAGCATTTCCTGTCTTTATTTTTGGTAATTATGACCATATATCTAAGTAACATGAAACTAATGTCATTTTCTGTTTTCTAAACTGCTTAAGGCAGAGATTCCATTTTAATAATCCACTTACGCCACGTAAACACAAACATGCATCCACACCCTTCACCTCCTCTATGAGTGACGATAGGAATCACCCAGTGATTGTTAGCTGTCTCTTCCGTTGATGCCCTCACAATCTTCTCCACTTCTCTTTGTATTTGGCCCTCTGGTTTCTGATACCACATCTTTCTACTTTATTCCTTCCTAAGAAAGCACATGGTGGTGAAACATTTCTGAGAACTTGCATGTCTCTAAATGTCTTTCTTTCCTTCTCACACTTGATTATAGTTAGCTCTGTGAACATTTCTCGGTTGGAAAATTTTCCTCTCAAAACTTTAAGGGGATTGCTTTCTTGTTATTTCTGAGAAACGTTGAGTTGTTGATTCTTGCTGTCTTTTATTTGAGTTGTATATTTTTTTCTTCCTAAAAGCTTTTTGAGTTTTCTTTATCCCCAGTGTTCTGAATTTTATGAATTTAGGGCTGGAAGTTGGTTTTCTGTGGTTTATTTATTGCACTGGATACAAACTTCTCCTTTCAATTTGAAAACCAATGGGCTTCATCCTGGAGAATTTTCTTGGCAAAGTCTTTACTCTTCTTTTGGATGTGTTAATCACATGTAGGAGGTCATGCTGTCCCTTTTCATTTTTTTCTCACTCAGTTTATAGTTCTTATTTTTCTAGTCTTCAAAAGTGTGTGTGTGTGTGTGTGTGTGTGTGTGTGTGTGTGTGTGTGTGTGTGTGGGTGTG